GGTGTATCTCACTGACATTTCCCCACTCAAAGACCCATGATTCTTTTTCTCATTGAAAAACCAAAGTCCTTGACACACAGTTCACTAAGTTTAATAAAAGAAAAATAGAAAGACATCTTCTAAAGGCCCACTCTCGCCTGAATTCCAGTATAGGTAAATTTAAATCATAATACCTTTGGGAAAGCTCTATATCACAAAGAGGTTTAACACTTACTTTTCTTATTATAAACATGTATTTTTCTTGTAAGAGAGATAAATATAGTTTGCATTCTTCAAAAATAAATAGACAAAAATTAATCTGATCTGAATATTAGTTAGGAAAGTGACCCAATTAGGGATCTGCTGTGAGAAATGACTAACCATCAACTTTCTGACAATAAGGACTGCTTCCTTAGCAGGGTGATTAAATCAATGTTTTCCAAACTAAGGGAAAAATTAGAGAATGCCATTTAAAAATGAATGTTATGGGTATTTTAAACTATAAAAGGACTTGGTAGAAAAATAGTAAGATGCAGATGTTTTGATTCTTCTAATCTATACCTTCCAATAGAGTAGCCAGCAGTCACACTATTTAAATCAAATTCAAATACATTAAAATTAAATACAATTTAACATTTAGTTTCTGAGTCCTCTGAGCTACATTTCATGTGCTCAGTAGGCAAGCCCGAGGAGTGGCCTACAGCAGGTCAAGGATAGTTACATCTTCGTCTCAAGTTCTACAGAAGACATTACTCTAGAACTATTTTCGTATCTCTCCCCACCAAATGGTATTTTTACTTGTATAGTATCCTGTCCTTGTTATAACAAATTACCCAAAACTTGGTGGCTTAAAACAACGGATTTGTTCTCTCACAGTTTTGGAGGCTAGGAGTCCCAAATCAGTGTGTCAGCAAGACCTGAATTCTTCCCGAGGTTCCAGGGGAGTATCTGTTCCTATCCTTTTCAAGATTTTGGTGGCTTCTCACACCCTGACCTACAACAATACTAGTGGATCTCTGCCTCCGAGATCACAATGCAGCTATTTTCCTGTCTGTGAGTCCCCCCTCTGCCTCCTCTCATGAGGACAGAACCCCTTGCATTAGAACCCACCTGGATAAGGCGGGACACAACAATTAACTTAATCATGTCTGCAACCACAATATAACAGTTTTAGTTCCAGGGATCAGTACCTCATATCTCTGGGACCATTATCCAACTTACTTCAACCTACTACAATGGTAGTTTTCAACTTCTATTTTACTTTGTTTTATTTTATGCTGCCAAGGTATCATTGACTCCACTGGTATAATGTTAATACTGTTTCCTAAAGTGTAAGACCCCCCTTCCCCACCACAGAGGGACTTCACACTAGAAAAATCTAGCTTTCTATTTAGCTTCAGGTATTTTTTGTTTCCTTCCTGTCTTGTGATTGCCAGAGTCCGGGCCAGATGGAAAAGCCCATAATGGCACTAGCTCACAACTTTACAGATCCACTTGCAATGATTACAGAACACGTCCTCATATTTTAGGCCAGGTCAGGGCACTATGTGCCTTTGGGCAAGCAGTCTTTGCCCTTACTCTGAGTTCTAAAGTAATCCCACTGATGGTGTTGGTTTTAGGGGTGCCTGGGTGGTTCAAGTGGTTGAATGTCCAACTTCAGCTCAGGTCACGATCTCTGTTTGTGGGTTCAAGCCCCATATCAGGCTCTGTGTTGGTGGTGCAGAGCCTGCTTGGGATTCTTTCTACCTGTCCCCCACATTCGTGCTCTCTTTCTTTCTCAAAATAAACTTTATAAAATATTTGTAAAGAAAGCCATTTCAAATATTTTTAGATATTTAGATACATATCTAGATAGTGTAACAAGAATGAAATTAAAAAAGAGAGTTGGCTATAAAAACTACTCAGAGCAATGAAAAAGTAGATCAATAAAAAGAAATCCAACAGAAACATGGGCCAAATTCTCCAATAAATACTTCAAAAAGAGGGTCTATAGGTGACCAATAGGCATAACCTATTTAAAAACCAGACAAGTGTTCACTAAAACCCAAATGAGATACAATAACACCCACCAGAATGGCTAAGACTTTCAAATCAATATGAAGTGCCCAGATTTATGAGGCAACAGCAATGCTAGAACATTGGTCATGGAAGTCTAAACTGATACACCACTTCAGGAAAAATTTTGTCAAGACTGACAAAAGCTAAAACATACATATATCCTAACTTAGTATTTCCTTTTCCTAAGTCGACACTCATTAGGAAAGTTTATAGCAATTCCATCAAAATAACAAAAAACTGGAAGCAATTCAAATGTTCATTGACACAAAATGAATGAATGAATGTAGAATATTCATACAACAGGATAACAGTCCCAAAGAAAATCATCAAATCCCTTACATAACAGTGTGGATAATTCTCATAATTATTCTGAACAAAAGTCAGGTGAGAAATAATGTTTCCTTCAGGATTCCATTTGCCTCAGTAGGTCGAGCGTCTGACTCTTGATTTCAGCTCAGGTCATCATCTCACAGTTTGTGGGATGAAGCCCTGGTCAGGTTCTGTGCTGGTGGCATGAAGCCTGCTTGGGATTCTCTTTCTCGGTCTTTCTCTACCCTATTCCTGCTTGCAGGTGTGCTCGCTCACTCTCTCTCTCTCTCTCTCTCTCTCTCAAAATAAATACATAAACAAAAAAAGAGCAGTAACCGCAGGGGGCCTGATGGGTGCTTATGGGGTGTCCACTTGATTCCTTTATTGACCTGGTGATAGTGGCACAGGTGTTCACTTGGTTGGGATTAGGCAGCAGGGAAACAGACGGGGCGGGGGGGGGGGTGCAAACCCTGGCACCATATCACGCTAGCTGGTCTTCCTCGCAGCTCTGGCATGTGGGCTTTGGGTGCATTTTCACCTTCACTATTCTCATCCTAGTAACTATTCCTATAGTAACTGTTCCACTTTGTCTCTCACACCATGTTTTCCTTATTCACTGTTGTATTACTAACATCCAGCATATTTCATGACACATAAAAAGTGCTCAATAAATAATCATTAATAAAATAAATTATGCATATCATGGTTCCCATGAAGAGTATTACATATTTTCATTTACTGAAAGCTGAGCATGCTGCTTAGAAAATACATCACGTAGAGAAATTTTTTGCATTTTGTTGTGGCTTTCCCAATGTGCTAACAGTTAGAAAATGTTGTGAATACAGGGTTTTGTGCCCATAATACCCAGACCACACAGACCCCAAATTTATGTTCGGGCTCACTGCAGGCTCTTCCTGACAGGCTAAATCTTCCTCCTGAAGATTCACATTCTCCTGAAGAACTAAATCTGTATGCCTCCCTGCCCATTCTATTTGCTATACTAAAGTGATGACCAAATAAAATAAACATGTAGGAATTATTTCAATGATCTCCGTGGCCCCTGGGGAGTAACCAGTTCAGTTTGCACATAATGATGTTGCCCATGAATAAATAAATAGGACTTGGTCATCATCATGGCTACTATTTTCACCAGCCTCTGTAACTAATTCGTATAGAGTTAAACGCTTCATATATACATGTTATTATAAAATACCCAATATTTGCTTAATTTTAAAAAGCTTGCCCAACAGGACAACTGTCGTCTGGTTACAGTGAGCTTTTATTCTTCTGGATCTATAGGAAGGGGCAGCAGTGTCTAACAGGAGACTCCCCACGTGCGGCTAATATCCCAATTCTCCATGCCGTCCCTATCCAGTATCCCTCTCCCCCCAGTGGTGAGGGCGAAAACAACAACTTCCCAGGAGGGGGAAGGGTTCTACCAGAGGATTCATATTCCAAAGCCAGAATTTGCGAATCATGTATTTGCAGACAGAACTGCACTACCTAGTTGCCTCAAAGCAGCTCAGACAATCTTTAAAGTAATTCTGTGCTGGCAAGGCCTTTATAGAAGCAAAGCAGCAAAGATAAATCTGTTGATGAATTTGTCATCAACCCTGGTCTGAAAGAAGCTCCACACATCAAGTTTCAAAAAAATGAAAGTCACAGTCAAGAAGATGAGGAAGCGGAAGGATAAGGATACGGTGCAGAAGCAGGTAAGGAGGTTACGGGAGAAGAAAGAAATCAAAGAGCAGGAGGAAGAGGAGGAAACTGGCACTACTGGTAAAAATGAGTAGAAACGAGACAGCAGAATTACAATCCCCAAAATCCATATATTACAGCTACTAGATCCATCTATCTATATAATATATACATATTTTATATGTGTGTGTACATACACACACATATATTTTATATGTATATACACACACACACACATATATATATTTACAAAATACAAAAAAGAGTTTAAAATATTTACAAAATACAAAAAAAAAGTTTAAAATATAATTAAAGGAAAAGTATTGCTTTAGGTGACCCAGTAAATCTTTATTTTTTAAGTATTTATTTAAACATTTAAAATATTTATTTAACATTATAAAAACATTAATGTTTGTTGAAACACTGAAAAAAATTTTTGACTTGAGCCAAAATCGAGTTGGACGCTTAACTGACTGAGCCACCCAGGCATCCCCAAGTCAATTTTTAAATGACAAAAATAAAAGTCATAGACATATAAAATATCATTGACATTAAAACTTATTGGTTAGGTTTAAAATAGTAAAATGTATAACTTAAGACAAGTGGCAGGAAGTTCCCAAGAATGTATCCAAAATCCATGACTTAGAGTCAAAATGATGGATAATACTGTAACTTCTACTTTTTAAATATTTCATAAGACTTTGGGCAACTTAATTAATAAGCTTTGTCATTTTAGTCTAGTGAACAGAAATCAATTCCCAAATCCTTTAAGGTATTTTTATATGTGTGTTTGTGTAAAAATATATTTTAACATACAAATAACCTTGCACATTATTCATATACAAAAACAAGGCAGTCTGTCAGAGAAAGCAAGTCATGTTAAATAATGAAAAATAAATAAATTACTAATTCAATGAAGAGGACAAAATCAATCACAAATTCCAACAGGTACTCACAGTAAGAACAGCCATAGACTTCAATTCTGAGCCCAATGCGGCCTTCTCCATTCCAGTCCAGAGGCACTATGCGCACGTAGCGGGCAATAACTGCGTGCTGTAAATCATGCCGAACCACGCCGTCAGAGTTGATGTTCCCAGGAAATGCCTGGAAAAAAGAAAAGGGATTAAAAAAATTAAGGAGAAACATACTTTGGAAGCAACCTGTTCTCTGTGTGTTCAAATAAACTTAAATTTTCTTTTCCAATGGCAGAATTTTGTATTTTCTACTATCGACAATTTGCAAAAAGCTACTATACTTCCTTTATTTGAAAACAAGTCCAGTTTTAAATGGGAACTAGGCCAAAATTTCCATGGGCCCTTTTAAAGGAGGAAATACACATATATGAGGAGAATGAAACGGTATATGGTAGCCACTGTTGTATCCAGTAAACATTTAAGTTATGAGTTCTAATAGTTTGCATTTTAATTACAAGCTCTTTTTTCAGACTCCAACCATATTTCTTGCTTTCTAAAAATTTTCTCTACCTTACTTTCCCATACCTTCATTAGAAATGTGAATTTCTTTTCAATATCAGTTATATATATAAAAAAACAAAAAACAAAAAACAAAAAAACTAAATATGCCATGTTAAGTGGCCAGGGTTTTTTTTACCTTTTATTGGCATGAACACATTTACAGAATTTACAAGTTGATCAGAAATGTGTTCACTCCAATTTTTTCACTTACAGAGCATTCTGTCAAAAAGGTGATTTTCTGGGGCACCTGGGTGGCTCAGTTGGTTAAGCATCTGACTCCTGGTTTCAGCCTAGTTCATGGTCTCATGTTTTGTGAGTTTGAGCCCTGCATCAGATTCCATGTTGACCGTGCAGAGCCTACTTGGGATTCTCTCTCTCCCTCCCTCTTCATCTCTCTCTCTGCCCCTCCCCTACTCACTTGCTCTATCCTTCTCGAAATGAATAAAGATAAAACTAATGTTAAAAAAAAAAAAAATCTAGGGGCACCTGGGTTGCTCAGTCAGTTAAGTCTCCAACTTCAGCATAGGTCATGATCTCATGGTCCATGAGTTCAAGTCACACATCAGGTTCTGTAATGACAGCTCAGAGCCTGGAGCCTTCTTCTGATTCTGTGTTTCCTTTCTTTCTGCCCTCCCTCACTCATGCTCTGTCTCTTTCTCTCTTTCTCTCAAAGATGAATAAATATAAAAAAAATTGTTTTAATCTATTCCCCAGTAAGTATAGATAAAGATAATACAGGGGACATAAGATGTCGAAGCCATAGATATCATACTCAAAATTATCACAATCTAATATTATGGAAAATATCAATTTATAAAATTATAATTCAAGGAAGACTTAAAGCAATAAACCATCATAATTCAGAAGATGTAAGTCAAACAAATGAGAAGCATATGTTTATACTATTTCAAGTATCAGATGGTTAAATTTCATACCTAATTCCAGTTGTCCCTATATAATGAGTTTCTGTAATGCTATATGCCACATGACACCCTATTATATTTGTTTATATGATCTCTTAAACATTGAAATAGAAATTTTAAATATAAAACTGCCTTTTTTAAATTTTTTTTTATGTTTTTTATTTATTTCTAGGAGAGAGAGAGAGACAGTGTGAGCAGGGGAGGGTCAGAGAGAGAGGGAGTCACAGACTGAAACAGGCTCCAGGCTCTGAGCTGGCAGCCAGCACAGAGCCGGACGCGGGGCTCGAACCCACGAACCGCGAGATCATGACCTAAGCGAAAGTCGGACGCTTAACCGACTAAGCCATCCAGGTGCCCCCAGCATCTTGTAGTCTTGTGAGCTTGTTGGGATCACGAATCTCACTGAAAGACAAGCTCACTGAGGGTAAGGATGTTTCTTATTTACTTGAGAATATATCCCATGGCCCCTGGCATGGAGTCTAGGACTATGGTGGGGTTGTGTACATGCTGTGTGCATAAATNCAGAGCCCGACGCGGGGCTTGAACCCACGAACCGCGAGATCATGACCTAAGCGAAAGTCGGACGCTTAACCGACTAAGCCACCCAGGTGCCCCAAAACTGCCCTTTTTTAATCACAAAAAATTACAACCTAAGTACCCTATTATATCACTAATCTGTTTCACTTTGACCTGAGGTTTTCAATTGGCTTCTATATAAAAACAGAAATTTTACCTTTTAAAAAATGATTTTATAACAATTTTTTGAATACGTAACATTGGTAAGTAGCAAATAAAGACATGCTTTCGATAAAAAGTATGTAGTGGCTTTGAAACAGGAGGCTCTGTTTACTTTTGCTCACACAACACAACCCTTGATTTGTGGTTACAGGGTTTGTTACCTGATCAGCACGCTTCACTCACACTCCTGGCCTCCAGAACACAAAATGTGCAAAGCATGACCTAGTGATGTGGGGCACAGACTGAAAGATTTCCTTGGGATTTAAACTATTTCATCTAACGTTTAGATGTCCCAACAATCTGCACAATGGGTAACATTTAGTCTAACATGTATAACTGCGTGCTTCGAAAATTGGGATGGGCTTCAGGGATGGTCTCCTGCTCTCCTGGGTTTTTCTCATCTGTATCCACCACTGCTTTTTCAGAATGGTCACACCTTCCTTCAAGCCTGCACCACACACCATTATTTGAGCTTTATGTCATGACTGTTAACACTTAGGGCATCTCCTTTGTATCTTGCTGACAAAATTTGATCAAGAAATACAGTAAAGGGGACCCTGGGTAGCTCACTTGGTTAAGAATCTGACTCTTGATTTCAGCTTAGCTCATGATCTCATGATTCATGGGATCAAGGCCCCCGCTGGGCTCTGCACTAACAGCATGGAGCTTGCTTGGGAATCTCTCTCTCACTCTCTTACTGCCCCTCCCCCTCTTGTACTCTCTCAAAATAAATAAGCATTTAAAAAAAACAGTAAAAATACTTGTTTGGTATTTTTCTAGCCAGGTTTTAGTTTTACAAAGAAGCAACAAATCTATTTCATTAAACTATGGCTTTAATACCACATTTTAATACCACTATAGGTTGTCTTGGCTCCAAAAGTAATACGGGTGAGCATCCCTGACCAAAATCACTGAAATTAAATCCTTATTTAATTGAAATTATTAATTAACTAATCACTAAATTCTTATATAAATTAATCTAAAATTTATCTTAAATATTACTCAATAAAAGCCACTAAACAATTTTAACTTGAGGATATGGCTGCTGTGTGTGTGGTGATGATACAAAATATTCACAACAATACCAGCTAACTCTTTTGGAACTCAGAGACATCTCTAGTCTTTTGAGACCAGAAAGAAAACAAAACAAAACAAAACGAAACAAAACCACTCTTCTTTGTTACTCCTCTACTCCAAAGCTTCACTCTGACACCAGATGCGTGGATTTTCCCACACATAAAGAAATTCTCCAATTCTCTGTGGACACTAGCTGGATGTCCTACACTTTACCTCAATTCTGACACTATCTACCTGGAGAGGGAATCAGACCCCACATGTTAAGGGCAGAGTCCCACCACACTTCAGATGCCCATTCTGGTCTAATTTGTCACTTCTGCTTCTGACAGATCAGCGATAAATATGTTCCATGACTTCCTTCTCAGGTCTAATCACTTGTTAGAATGGCTCACAGGACTCCAAAAACCACTTTACTTACTGGATTCCTGATTCATCTTACAATGACACAACTCAGCAATGGCCATAGAAGAGACGCAGAGGACAAGGGGTGTGGGAAGGGCTATTCAGCTCCTATGCCCTCACCAGGTGCGCCCCATCCCCAGGTCCTCCACATATTCACCATCCCTAAATACCTCCCAAATCCAACTTCAGAGATATTTATGAAGGTTTCATTCTCCAGCAAAATCATCAAATCATTGGCCATTGATGATAAACTCCGCAGAGATCGGGGTGATGGAACTGCTCCTAACAAGCCCTCCTTCTTGTGATTACCTAGGGGCTTTCCACAGATCACCTGGAACATGAACTCTGGTGTGGTGCAAAGGAGCTTGTGATTAATAACAAAAAAAATACCCATTTCACTTTTATTGCACTTATCACTTAAGAATTTGCAAGGGTCTTAGGAACTATGGGCCACGAATGATGGACGAAGACCAAAAATGTATTTCTCATTATAAGTCACATTAGCACAGGCTTAACAAAATATGAAATATATATACTGCAAAATGCAATATTAAATGGAACTACAGAAGTGCATGATCCAGGTAATGATTCCAAAATTATTTGGAGTGCTTATGAAAACTGTGCAATCAGAAAGCAGTCTATAGAAAGAGAAAGACTTCAGCTGGACAGGAGGGCAGAACAGTGTTTGGGAGACAGAGAAAAGAGAACACAGCAAAGAATGGGTCACTCCTGGAACAGAGAAGGAACACAGGTCTACAGGCTGAAATGACCAGCCTGAGGTCGTTGTGCTGGAATGCTGTTCTGGGTGGGTAACTTCTCACACCTCAGTGTTTTTCATTCCTTTTCCCCATGTCTCCAACCAAAATGAAAAAAAAAAAAAAAAAAAGCTGGACTAGCTTACTTGCACAATCCATTTTAGATCTATAACTGTTGGCTCTCTAAAAACAAGAACTAAGGTCTATTCAAAACTGGGTATTAAGGATGTAAGTCTGATTGGAACCAAGAATGCATATTTTGAGAATCAAGGTTGTTTTAGCAAGTTCTAATTATGGAGAAGAGAATCGAGCTTTTTTTTTTTTTTAAAAAAAGAAATGACAATAGTAAGAGCCACATTCAGGAGAACATGGGTGGTGGAAGATACTACTGGGGGCAAAACGACTAGCAGCAAGGAATTCAGGGTCAATGTCAATGTGGTGTTAAGGAGAAACAGGTACGATATTTCAAAAAAAGAATTATAAATTAGAAATATTAGGAAAAAAGAATTAGTAACAATTTGAGAGAAGGGAATAAGAGAAAAGATATAAGCCAGCCTAGTCCAAGGGATTATCCTCTAGGCATTGATGACACAGGAAAGGAGAATAAAATGGTAGTTATCTATTTTTCCCCCTCAGCAACCTCTTTCTCTGAGTCGCAGCATCCAGATTTTCTCTAAAATGTTACCTACTGTCTGCTCTTACTCCCCAGAACCAGGAGGAGTAGATGCCACACTATAGCACCAGGCGTGTCAACCTAACTTTATGAGAGTCCATTTTAACACGTGTGGTGGAATGATTCATTCATACATGCATTCATTTACTGATCCATTCACTTATTCATCTACTTGAAATAAGGCTAAGGGCCTCTATGTACAATGTATTGTTCAAATTACTGGGGTTACAGAAGTAAACAATACAGAGTTTCAGTTCTCATGGTATTTGTTATTAAAGTATTATATAGTGGGGCAGCTAATAAATAATATATTATATATAATATATATATGCATATATATATATGTATCTGACATGAATTTGCATTATATGTATATGTTGACACATATTAAATTATATGCGTAGGCTAAACAACAGCCAGAAATGTAAATGCCCTGAGCATACTTTGCAAGTTCTGGGGACAGTAAGGAAACCATTGCTTTTGGAACACAGTCAAGAAAGGAAGAAAAGGGTAGAAGATACTGGAGAGGTGGAGGCCAGAGTAAGGAGGGCCTGTAAGCCACGATAACGTGTATTTCACTTTAAGCATACCGGAAGGAAATCCATTGGAGAGTTTTAAGCAACAAAGTTACACATCTTAGGGGCACCTGGGTGACTCAGTTGGTTAAGCGCCTGGCTCTTCATTTTGGCTCAGGGCATGATCTCATAGTTCGTGGGTTCAAGCCCCTGCATCAGGCTCTGTGCTGTCAGCATGGAGCCTGCTTTGGATCATCTGTCTCCCTCTCTCTCTCCCCAAAATAAACATTTCTTAATGAGTTACACATCTTATAACTGTTAAGAGCAGGGCCATGAACATTCCCCTCCCTGAAGAAAGTGAAGTTCCTAAGAGAAGAGAAGGCAATAGCATAATATAATACATAGAACAGTAGTGGGTGGAATGAGATGGTGACAAGTACTCCCAAGGACTGGGGTGGTTCAGGAAGAAGGGAGGAACAGGGTTGTGGAGGTGAGTCCCGAAGAGAACAGGCAGGACACTTACTACAACCTGGATCCTGAATGAGCCACATGTGAGAGGAGAGAAAACAAAACACAGAACTCCTGGCAACTGGCTCTCCCTCCACTAAGCTCCTGCTGGTCATTCTGCTCTTATAAAGGGATGGACGTCAGAAGAAAGACAAACTAGGCACATCTGTGGAAGCAACATGTCAGCATCTAAATCCAGAACACACTGAAGAAAACCTCTGGGCATTCTGTTTGCCTTGTTTCCTCATTTTTTTCTGATTGTTTTAAAGCAACTGAATAAACGCCGACAAATACAAAGATATTTGAATGGAAAGATAATTAGTGAGGATTTAGATATATTGTATTGAAGACCTCCCTATAACACTGCAAGGTCAAGAGAATTTGTGATGTTTAAGACAGTTCTGTTTTACTGAAGGTGAGCTTCACAGAGAAGGCACATTTATTATTTATGAACAAATGCGTATCATCTGGTATTTTCTTCAGTGTTCACAGCATCAGTAAACTGGGGTTTTTTGCACTTCTTTTCATTTCCAAGCATATAGATATTTAAGACATTATTTTAACTGAAATTTAAAACATGTCAAAAGAAGGGTGCACATATTATCAATCACTGCCTTGACATAAAGCATAAATATGTGAAATGTCTCCTTTCATATAGCAGTGTTTGGAAAAGTGAAGAAACATAGGAAGAGATGCAACTACTGATTTAATAAAAACAACATCTAATATTTATATGTCACTTTATTATTTAAAGAGTCCTAGTACATACTGTATTGTTGGTGCTGCATGGAAAACTCTTAAGTTTGGGAGGGATGCTATTTTTTTTCAAATAAGGAACCTTAGCCTCAGAGATGTTACTAGACATTGAACAGCTAATAAAGGCAAGTCAGGGCAAGGTAACCATCACCATGTCCATGCAGACTTATGTCTGAGGATCAAATATTTAGCTGGGAATAAAGGATTTCTACTTTGGCACAACATATTTTATTTTTCATATTTCAAACTGCACACCTGCAAATACCAAATTTAAAGTTTCACAGACAATTTTTATCATACCACACTTTGGATGCACATTTGATTTCTGGCCCTTTTATCATACAGCCTATGTGCCTGCATGCCCTATTTCTTCCATTTCATTTCCACAAATTTTGATGAAATTAGTATTTTCTTTTCTTACACATTTTCCCAAAACAGATTCCCAATGTGGTCATTAGCAAAAACTCCACTTCAGCTTTTAATAGAAATAATTGAGAAGTTCGGATGACCTTGTTTATTGAAAGGAAAGACAGGCTGGTCTGCTCTAGTACATTTTACTTCAGTGGTGTTGAGCACAATGTCATAGGTCTTGAAGCAATTTTTTTTTTCACATAATCTGATCCCATCCACTTGCAGTTTTTCACATGTGAAAAGATGCAAAAAGAAAGAAGAAACAAGCTAAAACAGTCAGCTGATATTTACAAAACCTGTAAGGACTGAAAATTGGCATGAAAAAATTGAAAAATAAGTGAACAGAAAAATGTTTTAAAATTCAACCTTCATTTACACAAATGTCACACGATAATATGTTTTGTGGATACATGAAAACAACAGACAAATTCATCACTGTAACACTGAAAAATCAACTTATGGGAGCTTGTGAATTATATGCCATCGCTATTAAATGTCCTCTACTGGCTGTGATCTGCACATATGCTTAGCAGGATAGGGTTTTGGGGTTTGTTTTTGTTTTTTAGCTAACACTGCATTTATGTAACGTGTAAGGCTGTAAGCTTAGTAAAGCTAAGGGCAATACAATGTTGATCCTGTGTTGCCACATGAGTGTAACTGCCCTATAAATTATTAAAATATACAGCAGAAGGGGGGGATGGGGAAAACAGGTGAAGGAGACTAAGGAGAGCACTTGTGATGAGCACTGGGTTTTCATGGAAGTGTTGAATTCACTATATCGTACACCTGAAATTAATATAAATAACACTGTATGTTACCTAACTGGAATTGAAATAAAAACTGAAAAATACACAGCAAAGAGTTACAATCTTTTAAAGACATTTTTGAGTTATCCAGAAGGTTAATTACATCATCTAAATATCACTGAAGTTTTAATAACGAAAAATCTCCCACCATGTGCACTAAATACTCATTCTAGCTTTGCGGCCTAAGAGGAAGAGGCCGACTTTTTCTGTAAAGTAAATAATATTGACTTTAATATTTTCAGTTAATATTATAGGCTTAGGAGGCCGCATACCTCTCCATACCATATCCTCCTTTTTCTTCTTCTTCCTTTTTACTTTAACAACACTTGAAACACGTAAAAACCACCAAAACTCACAGACTTTAAAAGAGCAGCGACCAGAGCTCGCCCACAGGCTCTAGCGCGCCAACCCGCGTCTCAGAGAATCTTTCAAATTGATGAATCCTCCCCTCAACTCGGAAAGGATGTGAAAGTCTAAAATCATTGAAAAACTTTTCAGCCACTTGGCATTTAAAAACCAATAAACTTTGGGAAAGCATTTTGTCATCCCTTGAAGCATAAAATTTATCAGACTGGAGGAAAATACATAAGGATTTAGAAATATGCAGTGTGTGATGCATGAATTAACACTCCCCTCAAATTCACTATTATGGGGTCTGAAGTGTAACTTATGAAGGATTTTATGAGGAGAATAAATATATGTGGTCCTCACTAAAACCTCACCTTTCAAGAAACCTCAAATAAAGGATCGCAAGCTTCTATGGCAAATGAATAAGACTGTATATCTTAGGGCAAAGGTTTTGTTTAAGACTGAAAAAATGTGTGTGTTTGTGACACACAGCTACGAAGTAAGTAAGCCTTGAAGGAGCTCTCAGTACTCCTGACAAGTCCCCTATGTGGGAATAATCTGAGAAAAACACAACACATGAATATTTCCCCATGTGAGAGAGATCTTATCTTCCTAAAATATAAACTATCTCTGCTGCAATAGAAACATACTGATTTTTCCTGAAACTGATGTCATACACCTGTGATCACTATAATCACTTTTCTTTAAGCAGAATTTTATTTCTTGCTAGATTTTAAATTTTATTTCCCCCATGCTAACAATTTATATCAAAATATAGAAATAGATTTTCCATTTTGCAGCCTTGATGTGATTCTCCAGGCCTGGTTCCACGCGGTGCTGAGGCAGGAAATAAAGGAGTTACTTTCATAAAATACTGCATCTGTTACACTCCAGATCTGGCTTTGTCACCCCACCTCTCTTATCTTCATCTTTACCTGGCCTCACAAACACATCAGCTCATGTGTGTGGACTCAGCTCACACAGTGCTTCCTGAAGGTAAGGGCATTCCCTGACCCACACTCCTCAACACCCCACTGTTTTACAGGGGTCCTCAGAACATCTCATACTTATTCTCTCCACTCAAATGAAACGTCTTCTTTGTGTTTTTAATCATCCGTTAAGCCAGCTTTGAAGTTGGTGAGC